TTTTTCTATTATTACAAGGAAACATAATCATACCTAATGCAGAAATCAACAACGGGAATCCCGTTCACACTAAACGACCGCGAACAAGTATTTTCTTTGATATACCGCCTTCTTCTCGATCTTTTCTTAACGCGAACAAGCATACGTTCGCTCGCTCGCTAGCCCGTACTCACCAGACGATTATTGATGCAGAATTCTCGTTCACTCTTGTTCGCTCGTGCTCGCTTTTTTGGTGAATACGCACCTTAATACACATTGAGAACTACATATACAACATATCGTCAGCGCTATTCATCGGTTCTTTGTATAGCGAGTCTTAGTTTTCAGACCAGAAATTATAAATACATAGGAAAGGCAACTCTTCAAGTTGTTCTCCAAAAAAGGTTATTTGGAACCAATGGTGGATTTAGAAAATAATTTTGAGGAGGCCCAGTTTACAACTCAGAGTAAGGGGTATATAACCCCTTCATAAAGCACTGAGTCCTTGGAGGTCGATGAGAGATAAACTGTTNTCAGAGTATTAATGCACACATTTCATGAACTACGTGACATACTATCAAAAAAAAATCTTATAATACTCTATAACTCTCTCGTCGAATCTATAATAAAATATTGTATTCCTGCTTGGGGTGCAACATTCAAAAATGCTATTAGCCCGTTACAAACTGCCCAAAACATTCTATTAAAAATCATCTTTGAAAAAAATAAACTATTTTCAACAAGAGAGTTATATCGAGAAACCAACATGTTAAATATTCATTCGCTATACGCTTATCACTGCCTAATAAGAATGTTCTATAAACGAGCAGATTTTGCGCAGACACATTCAAGAGAAACTCGTTCAAAAATGAACCAGGACGTAAAAATTGAATTCTTCAACAAAACAGTCACCCAAAATTCTTTCTTCTTTCATGGTCCAAAAATATTTAACATCTTACCAAAAAATATAAAAGATATTACATCCTTCAAACGATTCAAAAAAGAAGCAAAAAAGTATGTATATAATCATCCAGAAAAATTTGCAATTTTATAATGTAATAAATACTTACCTTTAATTGTTCCTATATATTGTGTATCTAGGCTCTTCACATACACTACCGGAAACTTACAATAATACCACACCAAGTTTGAGGTTAGGTTTTACCCCAATCGAAATGTTCAAATTGTCCAGTCTCTTTCGAATGCTAATTTTGGAAATTTAAAATGATATGTATATATATGTATAATCATAAATAATGTAAGTGAACTGCATATGCCATCTGAATACAATTACATAAGACATACAATTGTACGAATGACATTCTGATTTAGACATCACAAAACAGGCTATAATAGCCTAGCGTGAGTCTAATTCAGTGAGTCATTAAAAAAAATATTGAACTGACCTATGTTAGTAAACTTGAGAATTCAATGAAAAACTTGAGATCGGTTTTTTATGGCTAGAAGCTACATGAAAATGATTTTTTGAAATTTTTATCTGATATTCTTCGAAAAATTGTTATAAACAAATGCTTTGTGTGTGTATAGATGTTGAATTCTGCCATTTGTTAGGGTAGGTTAGTATGTCTTGTACTGAGAATAGTTATTATTATAGTTATTATTATACCTACCTCCGCGTTGGCTTTGGTATATTCTACGGCAGAATACTGTGCATTGGTTTGGCGAAATAGCTTTCACACCAATGAAGTTAAACCAAACAATGAGAATAATAACTGAAACCATAAAATCAACTCCAGTGAGATGGCTCCCTACTCTAATCGTCACACAAGAACCCCAATGGCTGAAATGTAGACATCCTCCTATCACAACCGCCTCCGAAATGACTGATGAATACTGCAATATGAAAAAGCAATGGAGTAAGAAGGCTGCCTACAACAGAATTCGATTATTTGAATTGAAGGGATTATATTTTTAGGAATGATTAATTTTTGGGAAAGAAAGTTTTTGGCTTTCTACTACTCCATCTTGATAGAAAAAAAAAGGGATGAGAATCTTCCAAAGAAAGGAAGAAAGTAATCAATTTGAAAATAAGTAACTCTATACATGGATGTGTAGATCATGCAAAGAAGTAACTTTCAGACATATATCTGGTCGGTCAGTAGCCGGGCGGTTCGACGTGGGTGCTTTGTTCACTCAATCAATCGGCCGATGTGTGAGTCGATAGTTCAAGCCCCAGGCTGAACGCACGATTTGCACTTGCTATCGTCCAACCCGTGTTAGGAATCACACGTTAAAAGCTAAGACCTCGTTAGTTCTTAGCTCGCAGAAGTTTCGACTTCTGAGTGTTGTCGTTCGTAGGGGTGCGATAGCTGGTTAACGGAAAAAAACATATTTTAACCATATCTACCGTGGTAATGATAGAGGTCCTTAACTTAATTGAGTTCCTGAAATTTGTTTACCTGTGACAATGTGAATACGCTAATTTGAAAACTAGTGACTTAACTAGATCGACTTGATCATTTAACAGATTACATCCGCAATACTTATGAGTTTCCAAGGATTCCAAATAATTGATTTTCCAACCCTTGCTTGCATAGTACAAAATTTCGTTAAGATTCGGGAACTTGTTGTTGTATTCCAAAGAATGGTTTGAAAACGTCGAATGTTTATACCTAGTCTGAAGGACCTTTCATGTTCAGCATACCATTTTGAGAAATTTCGACCACATTGCCCCACATAAACACTATTACACTCCGGTCACTTGAGCTCATAAACTTCAGATTTCTTCATCTTGTGCAGTTTTTCTTTGGCTTCCACATTGTTTTTTCACAGAAAAAAACACTGTGATCCAGACGTGTCAAAGATACGGCCTGCGATTCCAATGTGTCACAGAAAGAAAAATCATGTTTTTTGGAGCTTATATACTTCACACAATTCCTCTACGGAAGTTTTAAAAACAGATAAAAAATCAAACTTTGGATCGTGTCCCTCATTTAAAATAATTTGGCACAGTGAACCAAAAAAAATTGGATCAATATTCTCAACTTCTAAAATCTGATTGCAAAATTCAACAATTGTTTGAAGACTTCCACAAAATGAATGAAATGGGATTCCCAATTTTCAACAATCCATTCAATTTTGAAGCTTCACAAGACCAGTTCATTTGCAAATGGAGTTGATGGATCTTCAATCGGACAGTATTTTGAAAGAAAAATTTAAAGAGGTTAATGCTTTTACATTTTATGCACAATATTTCAAGAGTTTGGATAACTACCCAGAATTAAAAAGGAATGCAGTACGCATTATGTGCATGTTTGGTAGGTAGTACCTATTTATGTGAGCAGATGTTTTCCATCATGAAAATAAATAAAAATAAACATCGTACAAGAATTACAAATGAACATCTCCAATCAATTCTTAAAATGATTACAACGAATATAATACCTGACATCAATGAGCTTATCAAAAACAAGAGAAGTCAAATAAGTATCTGGATCCTTGAGCTCAAAATAATTACCCTCTTTTATAACTTTGACATGATTTTCAACAACCATATGTTATATGTTGTAAATATGTTATATTTTTTCCGTTGATCAGCTGTTGCACCCCTACGAACGGCAACCCTCAGAAGTCGAAACTTATGCGAGCTATGGACTAACAAGGTCTTACCTTTTAACGTGTGATTCCTAACACGGGTTGGACGATAGCAAGTGAAAATCGGTGGTTCAAGCCGCAGGCTGAACCATCGATTTTCTCACACATCGGTCGATTGAGAGTGAACAAAGAACTCACATCTAACCGCCCGGCTACCGACCTGTTAATATCAGACCAAAGCTAGATGAAATCAAAGCCCGAAAAACAGCATTTGTGATCAAACACCAGACATCTGTGTCAATCTCCTCTTTAGAAACAAGGTTTTTACATTTGATAGTCATTATCATATTTGAAACTTGTTTAAGTATGTTGAATGAAGAAATAATTTTTAGCAGGTACGTGTCATGACCACTTTTTCACTTAAAATTTTAGATTTATAAAAAACATTCATAGATACCCAAATGAATTCAAGATAAAGACCAGATGTCTTTTCAATATATAATTTTTTCAGTACCTACTCACTGAGAAAAAATTTAATGTAAAAACGGAATTTTCTCAAACTCAGAAAAGCATGGGGGAGAGAAACCCATGTATATATTTTAAAATACAGCTACCGGACTAAGTCATGGCCAGTCGGAGAAATAGTATCTGCGTAAAGTTTGGGTCAGTGCATGACAAAGAAATAGGAAAAATGGAATAGAAACTTTTGTTTGCAATTTCACTTTTAGGCTCGAATAATATAACAGATCTCTACACATCTTGAGGGAGGGGCTTCTCACCAGCCATGACTCCGTCCGTCAGCTGTAGCTTTTGCCTGTGATATCATTCATATTGGGTTCAGTTTTTAGGTTTTGCTAGTTTTCAGACACCAAAAATTCAGGTTTTGCTAATCTTGGATTTATGAGAAAATAATTTTCAAACCATATAGTTATACAAATATTTGATATATTAGTCTTTGAATTATCATAACTTGTTAATTTGTTTATGAATTATATCAAACACTAAATGTTAAGTGAAGCTCACACAACGCATTAGTGAATCGGGTACCCAAATTTGTTACATCGTTTTGCATTAGTTTGCACACACAAAAGTTCCCAAAATATTTTTTTTGGGTTCTGGTATGTGTAAGTAAAGGCTGCCAATAATAGTTTTTCCCAAATATCTTTCATGTACCAGTTACACTTTTATTATAAGTATGGATTCAACTAAGAAGTCAATTTTTTTTTTAAGAAAATATATTTCAACAATCTTAACCCACGATGGCTTTATAATTCAAACTGAATTATAAATTAATGATTGGGTATTTAAGATTTTCATTAAATTATTAAATTAAATTTGTTTCATTACCCCTTGCAAATTGATTTCCAAAGGTTTTCACTTCTTTGGGAGTGCTCAAATGATATTGACCGCCATAAATTATTCTGAGCCTTAATAAGAGGTAGGAAACTATTTTTTAAACTTCTTGGAAAAATGGATCAAAGTATATTTAAGTATCAACATTTCTTTCTGAATTTTCTGAATTCACATTCTCAGGTACAACTTTCGCTACTTTTCTACATTCTTTAACAAATGTTTTGGTACATTGCATCTCTGTCCAACTTATGGGTACCATAGGATGTCCATGTTCTGAATGTGCTATAACTACACCTAATTCATTCTCTGCAGTTGAAAGTTGATATGTGTGGGCTTCCGTAATGGGTAACTATGATAAAATAAATGTTAAATTTTGTTCAGCAATGTGTATTGCACCACTAAGATGTACTCACCACTCTTGCCAATATTATATCGCCTGGTCTGAAACTCTTATAGATTTCAACTCTATCCTTCTCAGTTGCTCTAACATCTTCCCTCCGAACCAAGGCTCTGAATGGCCTCCTCAGCAATGTGTCACCAACGCCTTTAATGTGGCATTTGGCAAATTGTTGGGTTATGATGTACACTTGTGCCGTTACTATGTCACCTTGTGCAGGAACCACGGTTTGTTCTCCACTACTGTGGACCTCCACTATTTTTACACCATCTTTTTGGATAATGTCTACAGAACCTGCCAGTTGTGAATAAATGTACCCTTGCCTTTCATAAGTGCCTTGCCCAGAAGTGTATACTTGATCACTTAAACAGAGTCTCTGACCTGGAAGGCAAATAAGAGGTTCTGATGTCATGCTTGAAATTTAAATAAGAAAACTGTCAGTGGATCCGATGAATATACATATTTGTTCCAATTTTTTCAATCAATTAGAATTAGGTTATGAATGACAAATCTTCTTCTTATTTTTCTTACTATTATTATTCTTCTTCTTCCTCGCATTTCTTGGTGTCAACTACCCCTGCTGGGCCAACTCCATCAGAATTATCGTATTTTATCGTACATATTATTTATCTTTCTGAACTGAAAAGTGAACAAAACTCCATTCAAAAATATTAATATTTCATTTTAATAAAAAACCTTAAATCAAAGGAGAAAGGGTATAACTAATAACTATTTTGCAGGTCAGCAAATTGTTCTCAGTAGACATTGCTCTCGTAATCATGTAGGAGGACAGAAATTCTTGCAGGTCGGGTCTGTCAAATATGAATCACGACCAGGTTAATCATTTTCGACAGAAAAATTTTTCAACCCTCCTCCCCAAAAGTTTCACAATTCTTAAAAAATTGAAAATACATTTTGCAGGTCGGCGGAAATTCTTGCAGGTCATGTCTCCCAGAGATGAATCTCGATCAGGTTGATCATTTTCGACCAAAAATTCCAACCCCTACCCTTTGAGTATGGAAAAATTCCACATTCCTCATTAAATTGAATATAAAACTTGCAGATCGGCAGAAATTCTTGCAGGTCGGGTCTGCCAGACATAAATCTCGACCAGGTCAATCATCTTCGACAGAAAAAATGTTTAAAATCCCCCCCAAAAATTTCATAATTCTCAAAAAATTGGAAATTAATTTGGCATGTCGGGGGATATTCTTGCAGGTCGGGTCTCCCAGACATGAATCTCGACCAGGTTGATCATTTTCGACAAAAAAATCCAACCCTCACCCTTTTGAGTATGGAAAAATTCCACATTCCTCATTAAATTGAAAATAAACCTTGCGGGTCGGCAGAAATTTTTACAGGTCGGGTCTGCCAGTTACGGATCTCGACTGCATTATTCATTTTTAGCAAAAAAATTCCAACCTCCACCCTTTGAGTATGGAAAAATTCCGAATTCTTCATTAAATTGAAAATAAAGCTTGCGGGTCGGCAGAAATTGTTGCAGGTCTGGTCTGCCAGATATGAATATCGACCAGGTTTATCATTTTTGACAAAAAAAATCCAACCCCCACCCTTCGAGTACCTATGAAAAAAGTCCACATTCCTCATTCAATTGAAAATAAATCTTGCAGATCGGCAGAATTTTTTCCATGCTTCATTTCTGGGAGACCTGACCTGCAAGAATTTTCGCCGACCTGCAAAATGTATTTCCAATTTTTAAGAAATTGTGAAACTTTTTGGTGGGTATTAGATCATTTTTCTGTCGAAAATGATTAACCTGGTCGAGATTCATATCTGGCAAACCCGACCGGCAAGAATTTCTGTCCTCCTACAACATTACGAAAGCAATGTCTACTGAGTACAATTTGCTGACCAGCAAAATAGTTATACCCAAGAAAAAATCATTAAGCGCTTAGTTCAATGTTCGGTTCAAATCAACAAATTAACCTTAAATGGAAGTGTCCATTCAACAGTGGTTTGTACATAAAATTCTAGTTTATTTTACTACTAACCACTTACATAATTAAATATTATGCCATTTTTTGTAACGTTCTGTAAACATAGATGAGTGGAAAAATGACTTTCTGTTAAACTACGCCACGTTAAATAATTACTAAGTAAACAAAGCTTAATAAATAGAGTCTGCTGAAGCGTAATAAAGAGTAAACTGAAAAGTTCACCCCAAAAAGTTACTGCGTATGCAATGCCGTCCTTAGGGTGGAGCGGCCGCTCCAGGCCTCGCGCTGAAGAAGACTTCGTACCGAAAAGCCTTACTCGTGCTAAAAAAATCAGTAAAAAGGTTTGGTTCAAAGAAAATAATGTACAGATAGTTATACGTGCCTGAAATATATGACTAATTATCCGCGTAATATGTTACATTATCGATTAAATACAAAATCTATGAACAAGAAAGTCGTAACCAAAAGAAAGCAAAACATCGTTTGTAGCAGCGGCGGGGTTCAGGGTGACGGCGTCTCGAGCCCCGCGCCCTTTGCTGCATTTCAAATTCTGTACTCAAATTAAATTGTCCTTTATATGAGTTACAATAATTGCCAAAAGTATGGAAAGAGACTTTCAACAACTTTGCTCAAAAAAACAATTTTAATAGGTCAAAATAAAATTGTTGTCTTCATTGTGGAGAACTTTACATCCTACTTTATGTTGATATCATTTGATTGATAAGAGATATTGAAAGAAGTGTGTTTTATAATGAAATGCAATTTTGATGTGAGATCGAATACGAGTGTCGAGTTGAAATTATTCTTATAGCTGCTCCCATATATTCTGTGATGATTAAGAAGAGTCACCTAACAGAGTAGAGTAGAATAGTGATGAAGTGACTTGAACAATGTGAAATTGTTTTCTTTTGCTGTACATCTTCTTTATTAAGCTACGTAACTATTATTAAATCTGTTTATTAAACAAAATATACTTGTGACGAATTTTTTTGAAATCAGTAGCGAATCAAGGTACCTTATGCTTTAAAGAAAGTATCCAGTGCATATATTTTTTAAAGAAAAATTGTTCATATGCCAATTTACACAATCAAAATGGATTTTTTGTTATGTATAATATAAGTAGACAAATATTAATTCTATTCTAAACAGTTAAAAACAAAATTCCTCTTACAATTCCAGTATCTCCCATTGAAACAAAATTTTGTGAGATATATGTAGCAGCAATTAGGAAATGAACATTGAAAGAAATACAGTTCTTCGGCAAATAAAACCTGTTACCTGTATATCGTATTTGATTTCATAAACCATATCTAGTGTCTAATGCTTTCAAAACTCTGAAAATAACAGGTATGGCTTGAGAACCATGTAAAAAGTTACTATTCCAACAGTTCACTCTACTCTTTTATGAACAATGGATTTGTACTCAAGAAATCATTGATGAATAATTTGAAGTGAAAGTAGGGTTTCACTCAATTAGATAAAAATAGGTCAAGTTCAAGAATTAGTATAGTTTACCACCCAGTGTTTACCATTTTGGTTATTGAAACATGCATCAGGACGAATTTCAGTTATGGTGTTTGGGAGAAATATTTTTGTTGGGATTATACGTAGTACTGTCTTTGAAAAGAGAAAAATTCGGATTCCAGATTAGATGGGGAATAACTTTATTTTCAGTGAATATACACATGAAGTTTCTAGAATATAGTAATGTATAATTAAATCTAGGCTATAACCATTCATTAATTACATCTAATAAGTAACAATGGTATACTGAATAAATATTAAAATTACATTTTATTAAAAGTGACAATCTTTTTTCTACTTACAATGAATAACACATAACATGGCTTCATTAACAATAATTTATTTTGATGAGGAAAAATCGAATCAAAATACTTCAACTGGCTAAAAGACAAGACAATTTAAACATAATGGTATATGTTCAAACGAACAGTTTCAACAGATAACATAAGAGTATGGCACAATAAAAACTAGTGAGTATAACAAATTCAGAGAAGGGGTTAAAGAATAAAATTATAATTGTGCAGTTTGTGCCATGAAAATCCAAGTTGCCACAAATGAATATACTGAAAAAATACTGAACCTTTCCTTGTGAATTCACAACGTGCACTGGTTATCTTGAATAAACACCAAATATTTTGCATAAGTTCAATTTTAAGATAAAATGATTTCACTTCATTACATACAAGAAAGAACATAAGGATAAAACTATTTTTATCATCATTTTAACCTTACGTTTAATGTAGTTAATTCACCGGTCGACTAATAACTAAGAGAATTGAAATAGGACTAGGTTAAAGAAGATAATTGATAATTTCTTCTCTACCAATATGGATTTCGGTGTTCAGGACATACCATAATTAACAATTTCATCTAATCTCCTCCTTTACTTCAAATCTAAAATGAAAAACAGACTCCGTTAAATACTTGATCAATTAGATAAAGTGAGGTTATGGGAATTATTAATTGCCGAATAAAACTCAGGTTTAAGGTTACAAATTTTCCAGTACTCAAGAGTTTTTTGACTTGATTTTTCCAAGAGTTTTCAAGAATCAATAGCAATTCTAAAATTTCAATTGATGAACTCACATCACCATCTTAGTTTTTCATTTACTCGTTGCGACTCTGGTTACATTTATCATTATCAGTCAATATTAGATCAATAATATCTAATACATTGCTATCCATTGTATTTCCTTGAAAATGACTCATCACTTTTCTGCTGGTAATTCATATTCTCACCTCCCAACTCTTATTTACCATGGAATAAATCTAAAACAAATATTTGTTTGTAACACTTTATTGGTTTTCAATTTTAAAAAAACTTTTGTATCAAACAGATGTTTGACACTTTCTAAAAGTTATAACCTAACGTATTCAAAAAACACTTTATTGTGAGATTTTCACTCAACAGTTTTACAAAAACGCAACACGCGTTTCACCATACAATGGCTTTTTCGGGCCTGTATTTACTAACTGAATGTTCAATGATTTGTATACCTAATTTGAAGTACCTAAATTTCAAGAACCCGAGTTTTACCTGGCCAGTTATCACCTATTGAAATTATGAAATGGCATGAATATTTGAATGTATGATGATAAAACACTATTTAAAAGTCTTTCAGGTTGTGTACTCCTGTTTGTGTTAACCAGTCATGTCGGCGAAAAATTAACTTGAAATAAATCCCAAAAAATGAAAAAGGAAATAAAACCCAAAAAATGAAGAAGGAAATAAAACCTGATCACGAAAGTTTTTTTCAACTTGTAATATTAAAAAAATATGTTTTGATTACAAGTTAATAAATAGAGTTGTTTTCGAGATAACCGGCAAAAAAGAGAGAAGAGAACAAAATATGGGGCTAGTAGGCTGTGGTCGAATGGAAGCTGAAGTCTGCTATAACGGCAGTAACAGTCGAACCGTTTGGTACTTCAGGTTTCATTCGACTACAGGCACAGCCTACTAGCACAGATTTTGTTTTCTTCAATCGTGACCCCAGCTTTGAAAGCTTATGTTCTTAGATAATTACTATGTTCATAAAAAAGCAATTGTTTGAAAGAAAACATATTCAGAACTACTTTCCAGTGAATTGATACATTCTATTAGTTATTCATGTTAAATTTGATTATTTCAAAAGGTATTATAAGTTCACATGGTATTAAATGATAACATAACCTCACTTTATCCTCAGATATAAATGTTCCTGGCAATCTAGTTAGACTCACCAGGGGTATAAACAGGGACATCACCTTGATTGAGAGCAGCACTCTCACCCATTTTACTTGATGGTGGAGGAGGCATAGCATATACTGGGACACTCTGTCCTTTCTTTGGAGATGGCTGACTGGTTACTGGAGAACCTGCACGATCCTCATCAGATGCATCATCCTAAAATGTGATATCAAAATTGGAAATTGGAGTGCTTGAAAAAAAAAACAATCAAAATAGTCTTTTGTGTTGAAAATAACTTTGTTTTGTGACAATCATGTCACAATATCAGTGAAAAACCAAAATTGGTTTTGTTCAGATAGTCTTAATATTTCATAATAATGTGCACAACTGTACAACAAAGTAAGTATATTTTATTATTGTTCTCAAGAAACAATATAAAGTTCTGAAGGAAACATTCTATTCAATATGAAAAACCAAACATTACACAGAATATAATAAGCAGAAAAGCAGAATCAACCGAAAAAACTGTTTCAAATAAAATGAAAAATATCTTGAATGAGGTTGTATGTGTAATGATTTTTTTTTAATTTCAGTTTGGTCAATGTTTAGAAATATTTGATAGAATTAGGCAAACTAATGTTCAATGACATACATATTAGAAAGAAAGAATTAGAAGAAATATCAGTCAATTGTTTTGTTGATTGTGTTACTTTATATTTATATTAACAGATCACGCAAACTTAATACCTCCTCAGAATAAATAAATGTATTAAGTTATTAGTTGAGTGTCCATATTGTATTTGTGAAGCACAAAGTCGGGACATACTAACATGGCTAGTGTTGTCTGGTCGTTTGCATGCTTAGCATTAGAAAAACAGTATATTGATACAAAAAACAGTAGAAAATATATTTTACAGCTACATAAATGGTAAATTCCATTATTTACAATCAAACAGTAACTGCAAAAACAGTAGACCTGGTAACACTGAACAATGCGCTTCTCTCATGTGACTTCTACTTCATTTGCAGTGGATTGATTTGCAATATATCATAGTCTAACTACATTACGGCTTTGTTGTAACTCACACGATTTTGTTTTAAATATTGGACTAATCCAATATTTAAAAAATCTGGAGTTATAAATGGTGTAACTAATCTATAATTTGATATAATGTGATGTTTCATTCATTAGATTTCATCATCAGCTTCATTTTTTCCAATATGGACCTCAAAATTTTTTGGAATAAGTTTCTGTAGCCAGTATGGCTACAGTGGCTAAATAATAGATTTCGTGGCAGATGGTTTGTTCGAAGAGGACCAATAGAATGGTCACCACAATCGACCGACTTTTTGCCTTGAGATTTGAAGAGAAGAATAATAGCTGTGTGTAGAGAACTACAGGCAGAAGTTTTTCTAAATGTTACAGAAGACTTTGGGAGTGAACTTCGCCACTTTTTAGAAGATAATGGACATTTCTAACATTTGATAAGATACTTTTTATTAATTTTTTTATGTTTCATTGTAAAACACTTAAACTTGAATAAATTCGTTGTTTTACTTGATTTCTACAAAAGTACTAGAAATAAGTGTCAACCATGTGGTATTTTTGAAAAGGTAGCTGAATGACGTTCAAAACTAGGTATCACTCAACCTCACTTTCGATTTAAGATTTTAGGAGTTGTGTCATACATGTGAAATAGCTATAGGTCGTATATGGCAACTTTGGATTTCTGAATGTGTAAAGTATTTGTTTTTACTTGTTATATATTATGACACATGGTGGACTTTGATAAATGATCATTACATGTAGTATGTAGTAACATTATGTTCAGCAATGTGAATAGAGGCAACTCGAGCCCCAACCATCTCTAAAAATATTTCGCATAGCATATTTTTTAGGAATAAAAATTTCATTAATATGTACTAGGGTTGTGACATTGAATATTATTTCATCCATAGAAATTTACACAGATTTCTATTGGGTTTCATTAAACAGTAGTCGTCCCATAACAATAGCAATACTTAGAAGTAGAAACTTCTGCAAGCTAAGGACTAACGTTTCATCTTTCAACATGCCATTCGAGGCATAGTCGAAGGTATTGCAAAAAAAATCTATCCAAAAATCGGACAGCCTTTCAAGTGATAGGCAAGCCAAATGTTGCTTCACTACATAGCAACCGAGTTTTCTCACTAACCGGCTGCAGGAAAACTGGGATGACAAATATACAAAATTAATTGTTGGATGTATTTTATCTTATGTCATTTTCAATTCAGTTTTAGATGGTGTGCTATTATGAAATTTATTAGCTCTTGTAAAAAATAAAAAAAATCCTAATAATAGAGAATACCAATGGAAAAAAAGTATATTTTATTTTCCTTATCTCACAAATGAAAAATTATAAAAAATTATTTGATGCAATGATGTATTGGAAATTGAAATGTCTGTATTATTAAAAAGACATGCAATATAACAATAACAACTCAAATCTGATCTGGAAGCCTTTGTAATATTAATGTGCAGAATTTATATTCAACATTTGGATATTTTTCAATTATCTAATACTGAATTTAGCCTTCTAAAAACAATATTTTCAGTAACCCAATGACCTCCTTCACTTGAATTCAAATCATATTCAATATTCTTTATTCAGGAAAATTACCTTTATTTAAGGTAATAATCCTCCAAATGACTGATACAGGTGATTTTCTGTAATAGCTAAGTAATATATGAAATATACACAAAACCTGATACTACTAAAAACTAGGTATAATTTTAAAAACTAGAAATCTGATTGAATACCAAAATAAAGATATAAGTCAAAACAATCTAGTCTATAACCCAAACAATTTTCTTACCTCAATAACTGAATCATCCAAAGATATGACGACCTTAGCAATAATATGTGCATTATGCTCAAACAACTATTTACCAGGCAAAAAGTCAACTTACGTTCAATGTGTGATATTCTCCTGTATCTTCTGGAGCTCGGGGCTTGCATTTTCCGCAGCAGAAATTGCAACAACAGCATAAACAACAGCAACAGTAGCAACCTGTTATTATACCGCAGAAGAAGAATAATGCCTGAAATGGAAATAGAAAATGAGAAACTTTTATAAATTAGATACCTTATTTAGCAGTGTCCTACACTGTAATATATGATTTTTGAAATAACTATTCAAAGTGGTATGTTTAGGTTAGGTTAGGTTAATTTGAAGAATGTAACTAAGTATGTTGTGAAATAATTATACTCAAACACCTATAATGGAAATTATTCTTACTTGACACTTACAGCCCAACACCTCCGAACTTTTGATATAAGAAGTCAAAACAGTCAGATTTAAATTATTTGGCATTTCTTTTACATTCCATTGACATTTCAAATGTTATAAAATATATAAGAGGAACTCGTACATAAAAATGAGTTATTGGCTGATAATCATGGAGAGGTTAAGTAGGACAACTTTTATCTTCCCAAAACAAATGATAAAACGTTAAATTCTTATCAACAAACTATAATAGTAAAAGATGGATACACAAATGAGAGGATTCTTTGATACAATATATTAAAAACAATAAAAAAATTCAACCTTCACACATCAACATTAATTCATGTAATTAATTAGCAGTTCTTAATTATGCATAATTATAAGAATACTGTTTCAGTTCAATATATGAAAAACAGAATCAATTTCATTAAACGTGGAGTGAAATTGATTATAGTATATGACATAAAGTTGTAAAGAATCCTTAGACTAATTCATGAAATCAAGGAAAAATATAATTGACTTATCTTAATTTTCACTCACCTTGCACCAAGTTGAAGTAACAACAAAATAGGCATTGACATTTTCTTCACCAAACTGCTCAGCAATGTAGAGTCCCAGAGATCCATAATTATCGTATATATTTCGTTTTGTCGCATCACTTAGTATAGAGTGTGCTCTATTGACTTCTTTGAATTTCTCGGCAGCGTCTGGATTGTCGGGGTTTTTATCCGGATGGTACTTCAATGCTAAACGCCTGTAAGTCTTTTTAATCTCTTCATTGGTTGCAGTTTTGGGTAACGCTAAGACTTCATATAAGGAATCACCTTGTGTTCTGGAAAAAAATAATTTCCTGAATTATTACTCTTCTTGGTGTAAACATTAAGGAAGAAATGATATATTCGTTATTATTTACCATAAGCTAATTTATTCATTTAAAAAACCATTCCATATCGCTTGAAGATTATTTGGTTTTAAAGTTTTAAAATTATTGAAGCTGTGGTAACTAATAAAATTTGTACTTGTTGGAGACTAGAATATTAGTTATAGTGATGTTACTTATATGCATGGTAATAAGAAGGAAACTCTGCATTATATGTTTCCTAGTTTTATTATAAAGCTACCTGGGTACCGGCTTCGCTCAGGGAGTCGATATGAGATTATGTGATAGTTGAAAAGGTTAAGTTTTGAATTATAAGAAATGGACCCAATTATCTGGAATTTTCCACAATTATCTGGGATGTTCCTGAATGTTCCACAATTATCTGGGATGTTCCTGAATGTTCCAAACTAGTCTTGATCATTCCAGAATGTTCAGGGAGGTTCTGGAATGTTCTAGAAATTTCTAGAGAGCAAAACTTCCCGCCTTTATATCTTCAAAAGCAACCCCTTTCACATAATATATATTAATTGGTACATATTAATTAGAGGGTCTCAGGTGGGGGAACTAATCCCCCATGAGCAGGTTAGCAAACATTTGCGCTCAAGTGAGGTCTCACCAAAACCAGAGGCGAAAAAGCCCTGCACGGCTGAATCTAAGGCATCGTCTGGTGTAGCTGACGTGCAAAAACCCCTAATATGGGAAGGTTGTCGTCGGTATCAAGGTGGGAATCTTGCAACTTGACTATCCGACTACCTCATGAATTTCAAACTAATAAATAATAGATTCAAAAACTAGTGGTGGTCCACTTCCTATGTTTGTTCAAATAGACTATAGAGGTGGTTCAACCCCTCTCTGAGAATGCTATATGATCCATTGAGTTTTGTAATACTCGTACGTACGGCAATGTAACCCCCATACAGTTCTTGCTTGCAAGACATACAAACGTTCTGTACAGAGGCGTATCATTACTTGTCCTTCAAGGCTGTTAGCGTTTGGAATTGTCTGAATAATTTGTGTTCTTTCTGAAAAAATGTCGTCGATTAACAAAACACCAGTTATCAAGAGTCAGGCACGTGAAACAATTTTTAAAGTGTTCAATTAATTTCAAAATGTTACATGTGAGTCGGATAAGTTATCAAATTTGAAAAATAAAATATATCTCGCTACAGGTAACATTAAATAAATGTAAAAAATAACTATTTCAACACATATCTTTACTTTGTATTAGGTATTTCAATAAGAATCATTGAAAGAGTGGTTAAAGAAGGGAAGCAATTAATTTCTGCAAATAATGGAGAAGTAAAATTTTCCACCCCAAGAAAGAAGTGGCTTAGAAGAGCATCAGTAACTGATATTCCCGAGTATGAGTATTCCAATATTAGAAGGATTATTTGCGACTTTTATAAGAAGGCAGGGTGTCGTATTATGGTAAAAAAGTTTCAACACAAAATTAATTACGTTTTGGGAATTGTGGCTTCCAAAACATCTCTTCATTGAATTTTAAAGAAATGGAGAAGGACTGAAAATAATAGAAAAATTTCAATAGAGAAAATGAACTTTAAGAGCATTGAGAATAAATTATTTACAAAAAATCAATTATTTTCGTAGCCAACAGCGACCAATTGTGTTTTTCGATGAAACATACCTTCATAGTTGACATACATCTTCCAAGAACTGGACGGATGAATAAACCAAAGGGTTACTTAAAAATATTGGGAAGGGACCAAGACTCCTTATTTTCCATACAGGAGGTGGCATGGGCTTTATACCTAATTGTCAGCTTATATTTAAATCAGGCATAACATCAGGGGATTATCATTCAGAAATGAATTCTGAAAATGATGGTAAATGGTAAATTCACCACTAACATGCTCAAACCTAAATTATAGTTGATCAAGGTAAATAAAAAGCATCATATTAGATACAAATTTGATGAGATTTTGCTTGGACACGGACAAAACGTTTTACGACTTATACCCTACCAACCGGAATTGAATCCCATTGAACTCATTTGTACTAGTGTCAAAAACAACGTGTCCCAAAATAATATAACTTTCAAGTTGGATGATGTGAGGAAACTAGCGGAGCACGAGTTTGATCAAATCACATCCGAGGAATAGCAAAAGCGTTGCCGACATGTAGTTTGTAGTTATAGATATAGAGCGGAACTATTGGAAAAATGAAACATTCACAGACGTTCAAACATCGGTGAATTCAGTAATTATAAATTTAAACAACGATAGCAGCACAAGCAGCAGTGAAGATTAACAAAATGTGTATTCAGATAGTGAGTGATTGAAGTTTATTTTTGGATAAGTGTATCATTATATAACATTTTAATGAACTGTACTACTACCTATGATACCAAATAAAATATAAAAAGAAATTACAAAGAAGTCATGTTCCATTTGCTACCCTAATTAAAACTAATTATATAGATACGGCACTGACCGACAAGGGGTTTATCGTAATCCAATAGTAATTCAATTGGGAGAGTCTATACCTGCGCGATTGCTCGCCATCAACAGTGGCGTGTACTGTACATGTGTATACACTACACAGTTTTTTGAGGTTGCAGTCAGGTTTTGAGGGCTATTCAAAGAAAACTTTGTGTTTTAATTACGTTTTCGATGTTTCAGCTCCAACTCGACGACGGGAATTCAATCTGCCTACTCCCCAAGTCTCACTTTCACTTAAATCTAAGGAGTAGGCAGATTGAGACCTCAGTGAGAACTCGTGACGAGACCTAGGGAGTAGGCAAATTGAGACCCCGGCATCAAGTCACATCAACTTCTTGAAATGACTCAAAAAGTCTACTAGGACACCAAATTTTATGAACTATTCGTCATTTTCATTTCAACTATTCTTATTTTTCAAGGCCAGTGGCTACATTACTGGATACGTGACGTTTTCAAATGGCTTATGTCAAAGTTACGAAGAAATATATCCAATAATAATGATGCAATAATAATGATGAATGAAATTTGAAAAATATGCTATTTAATCAACCCACCACTTCAATTTCAGAAGTTCCATCTAAGTTCTGACTACAGCACTGGATTCAGGAGTTCTCGAGATAGTAATGGTAAAAATTTCGACAAAATCTGTTCATCAATGAAAAAATTATATAAACGGAGTTGCGGAGTAATTGCAGCACACGCTTGCTGAATTCTTTTGCACAGTTCCGCTCGATGCCTTGGTCGTGATTTAAAGACATTTTGTGTGACAGCCCCCATAGCAAAAATCCAGTATAGTAAGGTCAGGCGATGTAGATGGCCATCCAATTAATCTACTCCCCCCCGTCCTATCCAACGATTAGGATAGTTTTGATTCAGCCAACTCTTCACAATTCTCTCTCTTTCACAAAATTGTGAGAAATTTGCAGCATTGATGATGTTGCTGTCAAAAAAAAATGGTATAATTATTCTCTCATTCAGTATTTAACACCAAACATTTACTTTTTCTAAATACTGGCTTTTACAGTTAGGATTTTTAGGATATTTTGTATTTTGTAATGAAACCATTCCATTTGTTGGAAACTAGCTTCATAACTGAATAAAATATTCTCATGGCTGTCGTTAAGGTACTCATCCTGGGCCCGTAAGCAAAATTCCAAATGTTTTTCTTGATCACCTGGTTCTAGAGTATGTACATATAACTAACACATTCACACAATACAATTTAAAACTATAGATAAAAGTAATTTCAATAACTAAAACTAAGTAAATATGTCATCAATTAAAATTATTTTCAAAAAGTATATGGATTGACATTCTGACGCTAATAAGACCATTGAACAGACGATTATTGATGTTGGATCTACTGGCCCTGGTTGTGTATCCAGCACGTCACATTATTTGACAAACTTTCAGTTCTGCCACAACTTGTGGCAGTCTTATATAAACTCTTCACGAACATATGTAGAACATACACACGTATATATGTTGTAGAGAGTATATTTGAAACTGAATTGCTTTTTTTTGTAAATTATTTAAGAAAAAAGCTTTCTTCATGAAAACTAATCTCTCTGTTTTCAATTTCTGGTTCTGGTCTAGAATATTCCAACCATTCGATCCAAAACCAATAACATATTTCACACATTTGTGTGACGATGCAAAATATTGAATTTCCCTCGTATGTTGAAAACCGTAGCCAGCACCAATAAAAACGAGCCATTAATCATTCACAACTGGACTGTGAAAATTCTTAATGACATAGATACAATCAGCTAAATGGAATGCGTTTATTATTTAAATAAATGATAATTATGTATTTATGGGTTGGCATTGTTCTTGTCGATGGCAAAAAGCTGTACCGTAATGAAATTAATTCTGATGTTGGCAATAATAATAATGGCAATTTGACACGCGAGGCCAGTTCTTGGTGATAATGATGCAGGCGTTGGGTTTGAACTTACTGTAAGTGGGTTTGAAAATGGTCATTTGAAGAAATAAGAGTCGGATTCACCATAAATTCAGCGGTGGGCAGCGACCAGTTCGAGCCATTGACATGACGTATTGCAGTGATTAATTTTAATTGATTTGTAGGCGAAACAATGTTTCGGGATTTCGAGTTTCACGTTCACCGAAACTATTTATGGGATGTTTTCACATATTTACTAATAAAAGCAAATGTGGAAAAATGTTACTAGTATAATTTACATTTTTGTAACTGTGGACGGTTGGTATTCCTCTATAAGGTAATGTTCTGATAGTGATATAACCAACTAACGGGCAGCACCCAATATACAAATATGTTTTTATAAAGGTGTACATAAATACTTATGATTAAGATCCATATTAAAATTAAACCTATGAGAAATAAAAACTAAGATTAAACCCAAAGGCAATGAATGATTGCAGTGCGATACATTTATATATATACATGTGCACATCTATGTATTGTTTTTTAGAAGTGATGGCAAACTTCGTTTCAAGCTACTTTCAGAGATATTGAACAAATCTACTTGAATATCATTCAATATCAATCCTAGATAATGGTGAGTGTTTTCCATAATTGCATCTATGGAAATCAATTGCAAACGTCTGAGTGTTTCGAGTTACTCTGGCTGGAACATGTAAACCAATTTTGGACAAGAGGTATGGACAGTCAATATTGTTATTCAAAATCTTATGTAGAAATCTGATGTCTGCACAAACTCTACGAGTACTCAGTTTTACTATTTCTGTTATAGCACGAACTTCACTAAGTGTGTTTTCAGTTAAAGGTATATTCAATTTATAAGCTAGAAATCTTAAAAATTTGTTCTGAGTTTTTTCTATTTTATTAATATGTATTTCATATGTTGGCGACCACACACATGAACAGTACTCCAATATTGATCTGACCAAAGAGTAATAAAGAGTTCTGATGGAGTTGACATTAGTGAATTCTCTTGTGGTCCTGCACACAAAGCCCAGCATTTTTGTCGCACTATTCACAACCTGTTCATAGTGAAGATGGAAATCAACCTTGGTGTCAAAAAGAACACCTAGGTCCCGAACAATGTTTGCTTTTGTGAGGGGTTTGCCATCAATGTTATAATCAAATTCAATATGTTCAATTGATCGATAAAATGACATAGCATTGCATTTATTTACATTCAGCTCCATGTAGTTTTCGGAGCACCATTTGACAATTGCGGTGAGGTCCCTTTGAACGTTCTCACAATGTTGTTTGCTGATGACACGGCTAAAGATTTTGAGATCGTCTGCAAACAGCAAAAACTTTGAATGTTTGATTATTTCTTCAATATCATTGATGAATATATTGAACAAGAAAGGGCCTAAGTGGCTTCCTTGTGGCACTCCTGACGTGACGTAAATCTCCTCAGATATGAAACTCTTGACTTTTACATATTGATTTCTATCTCGAAGATAGCTTGCAAACCAATTCAATAAATCTCCGTAAAACCCTATCGCTTTAAGTTTCCCGAGCAATACTGTATGATTAACTGTGTCGAATGCCTTTGAAAAGTCTGTATAGATTACGTCCACTTGGTACTTTTGTTCCAAGGCATTCAGCACAAATTGAGTTAACGTTAACAAATTTGTGGTTGTTGATTTACCCAGGCAAAAACCGTGTTGTTCTTGTATAATGACTTGGTTCAATGGATTCTTTATTTGATCACATATCAAACTCTCTAATAATTTTGGGATTGCACTTAGAATTGTGATCGGTCTATAATTTTTTATATTTGCTTTATCCCCCGACTTGAATATTGGGGTAATAAAACTAGATTTCCACGAGCGTGGAAATTGTCCTAAATTCAGTGATGCAGTAAATAGTAGAAACAAAGGTTTTGCCAAGGTAAATCTACATTTCTTTAATAATAAAGGAGCTATTCCGTCAGGTCCCGGACCTTTGTTCGGGTCTAATTGGTATAATTTATTCAATATGGTTTCCAAGCTGAAGTTACAGGAATTCATATTGATAGTTTTTTCGTAACTGAATTCAAATAAATGAGTACCATCATGACCATATATGACGTTAAACCCTCGAAATAATTCATCAATGCTGTAAAACATTATTTAAAAAACACATGGCAATACTTGACAATAGTCTATTAGACGTAGTACTCAGAGTCAGAAAATATACGCTCCTTATTTTTGTTAATATCTTAGAGAACTGTCTTTCAGCCTTCTAGGATATTTTTAATCACGTGGTTGTCACATCTACATGTAATAGACATCAATTTGGAAAATTCAGAAGAAAAATTTCGCATATTATATATTTTTTTTTACAAAAGAGTAATTTTTTGTTGATTAAATCAAATTTTTCCTATGAATCTTTCTGAGGATTGTTACCTTCCACAATTTGGAAAAAATGAAATTGTATTAGAAACTCCATACTGTTGTAGAATAGTCTACTTTCAACTTTATTATCTCAATGAATACTCATTCAATTCGATCGCATACACCTGCGACCCCCACAAGAAAAAGTCTTACGGGGTCAAATCGCATGATCTCGGTGGCTAGATCACATCATCTCCACGTGAGATGACCATGTCCTCAAAGTGCTCGTGCGGAATGTGGCATGAGCTATGTGACACGTAGCACCGTCATTTGAAACCACATGTCATTAGTGTTCAGATCATCCAATGCAGGTCAAAAAAAGTTGGTAATTATTTTAGTGCTTGCTATTGACAGTGATGGCCTAGCCAACATCGTTCATAAAGAAATATGGACTGATGACGCCGCTAACCTAAAATCCACATCAAACAGTGACTTTCTCGGGACGCATTGGACACTCTTGAATTTCATGTGGATTGGTTTTGTACCAAACTCAAAAATTTTGTTTGTTCTCGTACGCATTCATCCAGAAAATGTCATCATCGCTGAAGAAGATGTTTCGATGATAACTAGGGTTGGTTACCAACTGATCCAGATCCCATTCCCCAAGCCGTGACGCAAAGTTCACCAATTTATGGTCTGAAAACATTGAAATTGTGTCACATATCAAATATCTTGGATTCCTGTCAGATAATTTATTACGTTTAGGCAATAATCTCGATTATATACGTAAAAAATATCTGAAAAAATATATTTCTTTTCAAGAATTTCTGATAATTTATCCACTAAGTCTGAAAATACTGTATACAATGCGATTATCCACTTACATTCTGATTACTGTGCTTCTATTATTTTCTTGTTCAATCTAAATCAAACATCTTAATTACAAAAACTTAAAAATCGCGGTGTGCGAATCATGATACAAACTTTGCGGTGGCTACCAGTTTCTTTACGGTTATATTACTCAACTATGACATTTATGTATAAAATTCTGAATAACTCATATTTTTCTGAAATTGTCAGTCTAAATTCAGAAGTGTACAAATATGCCACAAGAAAGCATACTAATTTGCTTTTATGCAGTACAACTAGGGGAGGTGCCATGAATTCTTTATTTTTCAAAGGGATTGATGCATATAATAAACATATTCCATCATTAAGTATTTTTAAAAAACAGTTATTGAAATCCATCCATAATACTAGATAGAATGATACTTGGTAAGATGATATTAATGAATACAGTTGTTTGTTGTTATCTTCTATTTATCAATGTAGTGGAGCTCCACCTATATTGCAATGTATTTTTAATAGCATATGTCGGTATCTTTCAAACTAGAAGTTTTTATTTTGTAATTTTTTTATTTTCAATTTTGAACTATGTCTACATTTTATGTATGATGTATGTTGTGTACATCTATTTATCATTGTATTGAAGCTGCACTTATATGGCAATGTATTTTTAGTAGCATAGGTATGTCGTTATTTTTTAACCTAGACAATGTGAGGGCAGCAATGAAAGCTCGTTTGTACCATTGTATGGAAGTTGGTGAAAACGTTTTTGAACATTTACTATAGAATTTTTTTCCAGATTTCGATTCAGGAATTGATAAAAAATCTCTTTTTCTGATTTATTGCTTCCATATTTGTCTCTAGAACAAATATTTCAAAATGTGGCCTCCTGTATAATTTTTGACCTGTTTTTTTATGTTTTCTGCAAGTCATTGTTTCAAAAGTTATTCGTCTTCAACTCAATGATTTGTAGTTCCCGAACCATAAGCTTCAGATCATGTTTTATACTTTGTTGAAATCTGCTCATCATGGAGCATCTGATAATGCGAAACAATATAGGGAGATCCATTTATAAAAAAATTGGTAACATGCTCTGGGGGTGAGATAGGGAAAATACCATCAAATGTGAATATGTCAAAATGTGTCCCCCTGTATACTATTGTTGACGTGTTTTTTTTATTTTCATAATAATTCGGAACAACTATCAGCATAGCCGAGCCCAAAAAAGCTAATGTCAAGTGATAAACGGATGCAATCTCATGAAAAAAAATCAGTAATTTACATCAAGTATCGTAGAACACTTTTTGTGACTCTGACTGTTGATAAGACAATCTAACGATAGATAGGCTGGCGAATGCCCTAGGAAGTAGGTGAGGCCCATTGAAATTCGTATCAACACATGTATCTTAGGATTATCTGAAAATTTAAAACAAACAGAACAACAATCATCTGATGTGTTATAATTTTATTCCATATCACTGTTTTTAATGTGTTCTTGATGCCAAAAAGTTCCTGTAAGTTCTGATTACGCAACTTGGACCAAGAAATGCTGGATATTATTTAAAAATAACTTTCATAGGATATATTTAGTTGTTCACCATCATGTAATTTTTCAATGAATAGTGGATAATGAATATAACAATACATTAGTATTGTTATAAATATTTTCAGTTGAGATAATTTTATTTCTGTGTATTTGAAATGTGACAATTTCCTATTTGCCAAAAATGTTTTTACAAAGTGAAAAATGTTATATTTCCTAGGGGAATATAAGGTGTTTCATGGAAGAAGTAGAGTGAAATGACGTTAGATGAAAATACAAACGCAAAAATTGACAAAAGTAATTTCACATACAATTTTTTTTTGAAAATTGCACAATGTTAGTACGAATTGAATTATAATAGTAATTTCTTTTGATAAGCCAATTGGATATTATTCAGCCACTTGTTTTCAACGCCCTTTAATCTCAAAAGTTAGGTAAGCGGAAGTTGCTATTTTGGTGTACTGAAGGATCATAGAGAATACCTTAACTGGTACAAATTGTTCTAGATTAGTTAATAACCCAAGAGTAGATAGATATTACCTTTTCCACTGAGTTTTCAGCAATATTACATACAATACATTATAATCATAGAAAGAAGTGACTTTCAGACACAAACTGGAAGAAAAATCCCCCTCAAAACAACTACTTTCATACAAACATTGATATACACGAAAGTTTCCAGTTTGTGTCTGAAAGTTACTTCTTTGCAGGAATCAAACATCTTGGTAAGGAGTTTATTTTGAAATTAATCGCTTTCTTCCTTTCTTTGCAAGATTCCCACATTTGTTCGTATAAAGATGGAGAAGCAGTAGGCCAAAACCATTCTTTCCAAAAAATTAATCAATTAAGTAGCGGTAGTTTACTCCATACATAAGCGAGCCCTGCAAAGTGTATATAACAGATAGGTATAGCAAGAAAAGTTGCTGGGTAATTGTTGTAAATTCCAAAAATATTATTTTATACAGGGTGTTCCATTTGAAAAATCAAAGTTGCTACTACTTTGAAGTAGCAACACTGCATTGTCGAAAATATTTTAGTTGGGTAGACAATGCCTGAATATGCTCTCCATTAAATTTTAAAATTGATCCTTTGTCTGAATCACCAGAAACGTCTAATGTGCCATCTACCGTGAATCAGCCTGTATAATTTTTTTTTTTGTTGGTTTAAAAATCTAATTACTTGGTACTGACGTAATTTACTGCATTCCTGAATGTCTTCAAAAATAATTAGTTCATAATGATGTGATAAACGGTATACTGTGTTTTCCTTTCAATATATAGAATGTTTGAAAATGTTATTAAAAAGTACTCAAAATTTAAAATATGATCTACAAATTTTTCTTCTTTTTTGGAGGGTTTCCTGTACTCGTGCAGAGGTAGGATTCTAAGGGGATTTTCAACATGGAAAATTGACAATTCCCGCTAGTCAATCAATGCTTTGAATGATTTTTAATATCTCACCATCAGAAGTGTTGAAAAACTTTTATTGAATAGACAGATTCATTTTTCAAGCTAGTCAGGTAAGTCATTGGGAGTATCAGAAACATTTTAAAATTTAGATGTCACATGATTAAGAAATAAGAAAAAATATGATGTATGTACTTAATGCTTCCTCACATTAGTAGGCTTAACATTGCTAATAAAAACGGCGCTAGTTAATTTTCAACAAGATATTTCTTATTTGAATTTTAACACAATATAGGTGCCAAAAAGTGTTCATGTTTAGGATTTAGCTATATTTTCTTATCATGCAGGAACAAGGCCGTAGCCAGGGGGGGGACCTAGAGGGATTGATCCCCCCCGAAAGTTCTACAAGCAACGGCCATCCAAAAATTATATCAAATACAATGTTTGGCTTGTTTGAACATCACAGGAGCATGAGAATAACACCAACCGCGGCAATGGAATTAATTACTGGTCTGTCTCCTCTGGACCTATACGTTAAGGAGGTTGCGTTAATGTCCATGTTACGATTACACACGGCTGGTGTAAACCTTGAAGTAGGAATGGGTCAATTGAGGCTGAACCTATGGAGAGAAGCGCTTACTGCACAACCTCTACTGCAGGCAACCACTGATGTAATGGGGAATGTTCCTCCTGACGAAAATCAAGTAGTTTTCATAAAAGAGCTCTTAAAGAACGCATTTTAAACTTATCATTTCAACCCTTTTCTTTAAAAAAGTATTTGAATACTTAAAAAAGAGGAATGAAATAATGCATTCAACATTTAAAGGGATTCGTTTCTATTTCACCATTTAGCAACATCCGTTATAGCTAATAAAGGACAATGAATCTGTAACCTGTATGAGAAAAACAAAGATGACATATTTCAGAGGCGTGCTGTTCTATTTA